TTCAAAAATAGATGGTATATATCCTGTGACTGAGAGAAGTTATTATGTAAACCTGAGATTACATAAAGGAACAGGTATGGTTCAAATACGGCCTACTGTTACACAGTTGCTGTTTATATGAAACAGATAACAGGCACCAGGTGCTGGAATCAAATTCTCCTGTCTCCAAACACAGCACAATAAAATCATAAATGAAAGCTTTATGGTGTGTGAACCTGAGAGAACATCAAACAGGTTTAATCGAAAGTGAAGTGCAGAAGTAAATCTATTATAATATTAACAAAAGGTCTGTGATCACGGACACCTGGGTGATTAAAGACAACAAAAATGATTATAAAAATCATAAGAAAACAACATCTTTAGAGACTATGCGGCTTTTTTGTTTTCCTTAACTCAAAAAAAAAATTCAGCAGCTGAATGTTGAAGATAAAGGGAATACTTTTTTAAACACAGTTTTGGGGGTATTTCCTTTGATAATATAATTTAAAGCAATGGCAAGCCCAAAAAATAATTTCTGTTTTGTCTGAATTATAATGCACTTATCTTAGTGAAGGATGTTTAATGTTTGAGTGGTTATAATAGATTAAGTATACTAATTTTATACTGCAAGGAGTTGTATTATCTATTGTGCAAGGTCCATGGAATTCTGTGCATTTGTAATTAAGTGCATTAAAATATATAAATAGACTTTTTCAATCAGTTCATGTACACATCTTCCAGTTTTACCTGGAATCACTAAACTCATAAAGCATGGCTGAAATCAGACTCCATTAATGTCAAAGGAAAAACTCCCTCAAATAAGTTAGGATTCTATCTAATGGGTCTACAAATTGAAGATAAATCAATCTTAGGATCCAGGCAAAAACATGAAGTAGGTGCAAAGCATTATGGTACAAGAAAAATATTCCGCAGTGGCATAGTATGCAAAGTGATCCACACAAAGTGGACAGAATGCCAAGTACATAGAATGGATGATTCACAAAGGGAAAAAGGCTATGGCCAGAAGTACAGTAGAAGAGATCTAGTACCATCCTAATCAATTTCTACAACAGTGGTTCTCAGATTGTCATAAGACCCTTTCAGGGATGCCGAGGTGTGGGCACTGCCATGGAAGCCAGGTAGATTGGCCCCACATGGCTCATATATCACCAGATAAACCTAAAGCAGGCAGGAATG